GATAAAAAATTTAAAATAAATTTTGAAGCACGACTCCTTCAAAAAAAAAGAAATAATCTTTAAGTAAAGAATAAGTTTCATTTCCAACTTAACCAACTTAAACAAGATTTGACCTGACAAAAAAAATCACAAAATTTTGACCTACGACCCCAAACAAAAACGAACTAAAATAACTGATCTTTAATTAAGAATTAGTTCCATCTCCAACTTAAACAATATTTGACCCGACGAAAAGATATTTAAAGAAATTTCGATAATAAAAACTAAAAAATTAAAAATAATTAATTGGTAGGTACTTGCCAAATTCCTTGATGAGTTCTGGTTAAATCGTATTATCCTTATATGATTGTCTTATTTCTTATTATCCTTGGGTTAATGCTATAACATGTTGATCCTAGAAAAAAATACAATTAGACGATTTAAGAGCTGCAACTTTTATGTTTTTATTTTTTTAAATATCAAAAAAATCGTAGTAATATTTGAGATAATGCGTTAGAATTCTAATAATACGTATATAGGTAGGTACCTAGCAATTTGTATACAAATACATCTATAGATGTAGATCAAAGTAATAAATGAGCATGTTTGTCGTATCAAAGCCAAATTACAACTAAATGGTTGATTACTTTGTAGGGATTATAATTATTTTTATCAGCAAAAACAAAAAAAGGGTGAGTCAGACTTGCGCGATAAACATATTACGTTAAGGGTGACAAATTTTAATTATAGATATATTTGTTATTTATTATTTTAATAATACTTAAATAATCTAATTTCGATTATACAGTTTCCCAAAAATTACGCACCATTTTGAGTTATTAGGGTTTAAAAATTTAATTTAATTTGTGTTATTTTCTAAAGACGTTTTGAAAATAAAAACTTAAATAAGAATCATTTTTATACGTATACTTTTTATACTTGTTGCAACCATGGTTGATATTTTTATTGAAAATATTTAACACATAAATTATAGATACAGTGTGACCCATTTGTTTGTGACTCACCCCTGTAAAATCTTTATTTATTGTGCGATTTTAACCGGATTTGTTTTAAAGTATAGATCTTGATAAACTGTATTTTTGGAGCAAAATTTGTACAAAATACAAGGCCTACTATGTCAGTTTTTGACAGTACATTTTTAAGAATTCATATTAGCGATTTTTTTAAACAAAATCTAAGCACGGCACTGGATTCACCACCCCTCAAAACGATCCAATACTAAATTATATTGAAAAATTTTAAGTAGAAAAATGCACAATAATAACTACAAAATTTTATTCTGTTAAGTTATCCATGAAAAAACAATTTTTCAATAAAATTTAGTAAAGGGTCGTTTTGAGGGGTGGTGAATCCAGTGCCGTGCTTAGATTTTGTTTAAAAAAATCGCTAATATGAATTCTTAAAAATTTACTCTAAAAAGTGACATAGTAGGCCTTGTATTTTGTACAGGGGTGAGTCGCAAACAAATGGGTCACACTGTATATATATATTGATTTTAAACAACAAAAAACTATTTAAATTTTCTAAAGGTTAAAATCAAAGGCGATTTTATAAATAAAAGTAGACTAAACAAGTTTGAAGAAATTTAGTTAAAAAAACTTAAAAATTAGCGAATAAATAGGTACCTACTTTTATTTTAGTCAAAAAATTTAAAAATAATAAATTGGTACTTGCCAAATTTATTGATGAGGTTTGGTTAAATCCCATTATCCTTATATATATGGTTGTCTTATTTCTTAATATCCATTGGCTTAATAGCTATGGCTTTAAACATCTTGGAATAAGTTTCATTTCCAACTTAACCAACTTAAACAAGATTTGACCTGACAAAAAGAATCACAAAATTTTGACCTACGACCCCAAAAAAAACGAACTAAAAGAACTGATCTTTAAATAAATAATTAGTTCCATCTCCAACAAACAATATTTGACCCGACGAAAAGATATTTAAAGAAATTTCGATAATAAAAACTAAAATATTAAAAATAATTAATTGGTAGGTACTTGCGAAATTCCTTGATGAGTTCTGGTTAAATCGTATTATCCTTATATGGTTGTCTTATTTCTTATTATCCATTGGTAAATAATTAATTGGTAGGTACTTGCCAAATTCCTTGATGAGTTCTCGTTAAATCGTATTATCCTTATATGATTGTCTTATTTCTTATTATCCTTGGGTTAATGCTATAACATTTTGATCCTAGAAAAAAATACAATTAGACCATTTAAGGACTGCAACTTTTATGTTTTTTATTTTTTAAATATTAAAAATATTCGTAGTATTATTTGACCTAATAGATGCGTTAGAATTCTAATAATACCTAGCAATTTGTTAATGTAGATAAAAGTAATAAATGAGCATGTTCGTCGCATAAAAGCCAAATTCCAACTGAACGCTTGATTACATTGTAGGGATTATAATTATTAACAAAAACAACCAAAAAAGAGGGTGAGTCAGACCTGCGCAATAAACATATTAAGTTAAGGGTGACGAATTTCTTAATTATATAGGTATTTGTTATTTATTATTTTTTTTTAATAATCAAATAATGTAATTTCGATTATAGTTTCTAAAAATTACGCACCATTTTGAGTAATTAGGGTTTAAAAATTGTGTTATTTTCTAAAGACGTTTTGAAAATAAAATCTTAAATAAGAAACTGTTTTATCCTTATCGGTTGATATTTTTGTTGAAAATATTTAACAAAAAAAATTATAGATATTAAACTAAAAAATACAAAAATCTAAAAAAAAATTTGACCTACGACCCCTTACAAAAAACTATTTAAATTTTCTAAAACTTAAAATCAAAGGCGATTTTATAAATAAAAGTGGACTAAACAAGTTTGAAGAAATTTACGAAAACCGTAGTGCTGTTTATAGACACCCGTACGGAAATCTATAAACAAAACGGTATTGTTCATCTTTTACGGGATGGCAACATTGCACAACAGTGTCGCCAATAAGAGAATATATTCTCTTATATATATATATATATTTATATATTATATATTTATATTCTACGCTATTTTGAGTAGACAACTTTTATATATATGTATCTTTGAAATTGGAGTTATTGTCACAACAAACGTTTTTTGAAAATAGATAATATATATTATATAATATATGGTAGAATAATAAAGCTGTCTTTATTAAAATTCTAACTTCTATTAAATTGAGAAAATACTATAATGTGCATCTCAAGAGTTGGCAACCCTGGCGGCACGTCAATGTATGATGAATTTCATGGATTACGTCTCTAGCGTGCCCGTAAAAACTAAATTGCAGGCACTCTAACGTGCACGTAGTCACTGCTCAAAAAATATCTAATTTTGTATTTTAAGGTTAGAAAAATCTATTTTGACCAAAATAAAATTTGGAAGAGTGTGTTAATATGGTCATAAATAAATATAGGTAAACCAAATAATTGTTGAATATGATTAAAAAAAAATTGAAGCTTTTATACTTCTAATGACAAAACTTGTGCATATCTCTTGGCATACCTACTTTAAGTTAAATTATAAGAAAACAAACAATTTTTAGAGAAACTTGCAATGTGAAAATATTTAATACTCCCATGACATGTGATTTATTAAAATTTTTAAAGTTATAATGATTTTTCGATGTAGATCAAGTTCAGTCGAAGCTTTTTAACTATTTGTATTGACAAAACTTTATACAGTCTTTTAAGTAATCCAAAATACTTATTTATTTTGGTCAAAATAAATTTTTCTAACCATAAAATTACAAAATTAGATGATATTTTTGATGATAGTTTTGTGTTGTCTGCTGAAGCAGACAGGTCGTAGACGGCCTTCCTTGAGAAGACAACATGGGACTCCCAGTACAAAAATACACTGGTTAGTACCATTTATACAAATCTACAATAGATTAGTTTGATTCCTGAATAATTTCCACGATGGATGGTAAAAATAATTAAAGATAATATGTGCATAGAGCCATTCGCCATGGTGCATGGTTGGAATGGACTACAAAATGAAGGTTAAACAATAAAAAATGTATACATGAAAAACAAATTGGTACGAAATATTTAATGGTTAAATTATATGGATGATTTTAAAAGTGTAATGTTATGTATGATGATAAGTAATTTTGGACAATGTTAAATGTATTGAAAAGAAACGAAGAAAGAAAATGGACATATTAATAAATAAACAAGAATATATCGAAAAATAAGTGTGAAAAATTTTTTTTAAGTGATACAGTGAAATTTGTGAAAGAAATTAGACATAAATTAATATTAAAATGAACGATGAATAATAATAATTTAAAATAAATGATTTAAGGGATGAGTTGTACTCAGATTCTCTTAATTGAGACCCTTGAACATATATAAATATTCAAAAAACATAATGAGCTGGCCAAATAGCTTTTAATTAGGCTAAAGGCCATTACCCCTGAACACAGTGCATCTGTGTTCAGATTGAAGAAGAAGAAGATATTTTTGTTATAATTTATTAACCTACCTTTAAAACAGATATTCTTATTCCATAATAGAGAAGCTAGATTTTTTTAAATAAATGCTGTTTAGTTAAAATTATTTTATAGAGAAAACCAGATATTTGGACCAATGCACAAAAATATTACTTATTTGGCACCATAATCTTTAGAATTTCATTAAATGCAGTAGTATTCTTAAATTCTTAAACCATCCATTGTTATTGTAATGTTATAAAGATTTATACATTTTTACCGCCTAAATATAATATTATTTCTTTCGTTGACTAACTTTGACAGATACATAACCTAAAAAGCCTTAAATGCCAAATTTTCAAAAGACTGCGTTCCGAACGTGGTCACGTGGTGGGACTTTGAGGTGTGGAGCATAGTACCTAAAAGATCATCCTTAATTTCATCTTATGCACAGCCACTTATTCCTTACGCCACAAACATACACTCTTTCTCATATCAATTTTCTCGTTGCCTGTTAAAATTTTGCTCTCAACAAAACTCTCAATGAATAAAACTATACTTCGTAGTGCTTGGACTCGCACCAAGAGCAACGCTACAACCTTCCAGTGCCATCCAGCCCGCGCCAGATCATCAACTCGGCGGTGGCTCAGCTCGAGCTGAAACACCACCAGCGCATCGAGTCCCCCGTCAGCCAGGAAGACGAGGAAGTCCTTTCGATAGTGAGCGGTCGAGAACCGTTCAAGCAAGTGGCCCGACAATGCGACAGCGTGTTGCCCGAATTCGACGACTGTAAGTAGGGTTGGGAAAATTTCACTTTTTGCTTGTACTTGAAATTTCACTTAAAATTTTCATGACATTTATGAAGTTTATTAAAATTTCCTAAATTTCTGAAATTTCATGAAATTTATTGAAACTTTCAATAAATTTCAATCACTTTAAGTGTAATCTATTAATATTGAAATAAGCCCACTCGGGGACCATGGCAAAATGCCTCTCTTACCTCCTACCCCTCTGTGGGCCCCTGCACCAATAATATAAATAGTAAATACCTATGTTTACCACAAATTTCTTGAGATTTCCTTTTAAAATATTTTTAAAATTACTAAAACTAAAAAAGATATAGCACTCTTTGGTAAGCTAATGAGAATGTGCCACTTTCATTGTTTTATATTTATATATATTTATTATTTTTATATATTTTACTGAAATTTTACAAAAATTGAAGAAACTTCATCAAAATTTTATGAGCCAAAGGCATTTTTTATCCGTTTTCCGATACAATTATAGCAAAAGTAAAAGTTTAAATTAATCATGACTTTAAAAAAAAATTTAAAGTCTGATTTAATTTACAAATTAAATTGGTAACTGAATTAAATTATTTAAATTAATTTATGCATATAAGTAACAATAATTACTTATAGTGTATTCAAATCCAAGCCGAACTAAACAAAAACGCCCAGACGCTTGATAACTCGTTCTTATTGGTCGATTCGGAATCTGTTGTAAATTATTATTAAAGGTCCCAGGGGAGGCCGCATGTGAAATTTATGCGAAATTTTCAGTAAATTGCGAAACTTTCAATGAAATTTCTGAAACTTTCACAGGCAATGTTGAAATTTTCGAATTGAAAATTTCATTTGAACTTTTTAAAAATTTCACTTTTCCAACTAAATGAAATATTTCAAGTTTGAAACTTTCAAAGTTGAAATTTTCATTTGAAAATTTCAACTGTCCCAACCCTAACTGGCGTTTGTGTTTTAGCTTCGGATACACTAATAGACGACCAAGAGCACGGCTCGCCGTGCGCAGCCGGAGGTTTGCACATACCAAATTCCAAATCGATGATAGTTTTCGCGAACCAAATCAAGCGGCTTCGTCATCACAGTCAGTGTAGTAATATGGAAGCCGACCGAAATGAATCTACCACAGGCAGTAGTCCTGGAAATGGTAAGAAATTAATAATTATAAGTGTTTTTTTATTTGGATTATATTCAACATTGTCAAAATCATTTTTTCATTGCCGTAGCGAAGGTTCCGATTATGGGCAGTGTTAAAAAACGTTTTTTTGTTATGTTTTATAAGTGTTTTTGTTTAATTCTTTACAGAGCTTAGTAAAAAAACATTTAAAAAGAAAAACTGTTGTAAAGAAAGAAAGTATTTTCCCCACCTTCTTTTTTTAGGAATAATTGTAGGTAGCTGGAATACAGATTGGCAGGGAAATCCTTAAACTTAAAAAAATTATTTTCTTTTATACAACAAAAGTAGGTACAAATTAATGCAAAATTATATTATTTATCATGATAAACAATTTTATCTCAATTTTATAAAATTTGTTTGATAGTTCGAGATCGGACGCTAAAAAGTTTAAAAAATTCCGAAATTCAAATTTTAAATTTGCAGACTTGCAAAGCTGGGAGTATCTTGAAAAAAGTACTAAGATACTTTATCTTAGATACCTTTTATATTGGACAGAAAGTATCTTTAACTTAGTTACTTTGAAAAAGTATCTTGTAACTTTCCAGAGTGATTCAAAGTAATTACCTAACCTACAACTTGTTGAATTTTTATAATTTTATAGTTTTTATTCAAACTCAAAAGTATCTTAGTTTCTTAAAAGTATCTTAGTTACTCAAAGTTATCTTAGATACTTTCATATAGTATCTTAGATACTTTCATATAGTATCTTAGATACTTTCATATAGTATCTTAGATACTTTTTAAAGTATCTTGTAACTTAAGATAATTTTAACTCAAAGTATCTAGTTACCATAGGTAACTAAGTTATTTTGTTTAAACTATCTTAGAAAAGTAACTAGATACTTTTCAGAAGTAACTTTCCCAGACTTGCCATTCCAAACAATTTTCTTTACAGAATTTTGTCATATCTTGTAAAGGAAAGGTACTTTACTCAGTTTTTTGTATATTTCTAGGACATACTTAATTTCTATAAAATAAAAATATGTCAATATGTTTTTTTTACTCAAGCAGGACTGAACCTCATAAGATACAATTTTAATTGAATTTATTTTCTTTTACACCTATTCAAGCGACAATCCGTGCACACACTGTATATATACTTCAAAGGAGTTTTAGTTTGACTAGCGCTTTATGCGGATGTTTTTTAAAGTTTTTTATTAACGAGTGTTATGCTTTTAACTAAAGAGTTTTTTGCTTACATAAGGAATTCAAGATTCTTATAAAGAATGTGTATATTTTGTTTTATATTAAAATACAAAAATATAAAATGTATACAAAGAGTTTAAGAAAAAATTAGTTTAAAAATACCTTAAAGGCTTTTTGTGGGATTTACCTATAAAAACCACTGTGTTTTTTTTTGGATTACCTAACCCTGATTATGGGGGTGTGATTTTCATTAAAACGCCGACTTTTGAATCTTAAAATATTAAGAATACGTATTACAATCTGCAATTTTACTTGTAGCAATTTGTCTGTAATTCAGGTTTTATATAATCAGGGCCGGCTGAAGGCATTTTTGGTTTACAAGGATTTTTTAATGCTTTAGAGTCACCTAAAGCCATATGTCTAAAAAATAGACCATCACACAAACTGTGATAACCACTTGGTGGTATTTATTAAACGCCTTGAAAGTATTTAGATGAAACAGTTTTAAATTGTTTTGTTTGGGTATGTAAGGTTAAAATAACAAGTTTTAGAAACAAATCTTTATTTTTCATAAATTTAGATTCTTGAAGGTTTTTAAACTTTTACTTCATGGTTTTATAGTAATGAATAGGTAATTATTATCATTCCATGATTAATATGTTAGGTTTAAGTACCTTGGTCCTGATCTGGATATAGTATAATAATTTTTTTAAATTACGCGTTCTGTAGTCAACAAACTTTTGTTTTAACACTAAAAAATTTAATGTTATGTAAAATTCAACTTTTAATGACTGTTTAAAAAAACAAAATTTTATAAAATCATCAAACATGGCGATAACAATTTCTCTTAAAGTTTATTCATTATTTACTTTTCAGACTTACATATTCAAATTTACTTTAGCAGCATCAAAATATTTAGTTTATGATTGAAAAATTAAATAAGAAAGTTGAGTTTCTTGTCGCTGCAATTTGCATATTTATTGTTTGAAATTACTTCAAAAAGATATTTTAATCATTCCCGATTTTTTTATAAAAAAGACCACGAATTTACCGAATAATCTTTATAAGCTACAAAATAAATGAGTAATCTCTTGTCTATTATATTCAAATCGCTTAGCTGTTAGTCGTCATTAGCTGCAGTCGGTATTAGTCGGAAGCTAATAAAACTTTCAAAAATGCCGACTAGTGAATTCACAGAAAAATGAGGATCGGCATTTCCTTTCGCATCTTTAACAATTTTTAACTAAATATTTTTCGGAAAATAGATATATTTTTTTCAAAATCACGTTTTTATTCATTGTAAATATTGGAATAGGTACAGTATAGCTTCGGTAACCCGGATCTATATTTCCAGTTAATCGGACACTGCGGAAGTTCAACAGTTTAGTATTTTTTAACTCAAAAATCCGGATTTAATTGAATAAACAATAAACAATAAATTCGGTACATAATTATCTATTCGGTAATTCCCCTATAAGTTGCAGTATACGGTATATACGTTTTACGGATTACTGGAATACTTAAATTAAATGATGTATGTGAAGCTTGAAACGTTTATTAAAAAAATGTACTTTATAATGTAAAATGACATTTTTTTATGTAATGTAAAATGACATTTTTTTATCAATAAAATGTCATTTTAAATTGGATGGACTTAACTACACAGCAAACGGAAAAATATAGAATTGTATTGGATGACGCCACGTTTGAATACAGTTTTCTAAACCCTCGCCACGGTATAGAGTTGTATTCGTCATTCGAGCTTTTCAATACTCTCCACAGTATAGAGGTCGTAATTTGACTTTTGAACTAGTATTAATATGAAAATTATTTTATGCTTGAAAAAAACTATATACGACATAATTGTGATTTTTTTCATTTTATTCATTAATTAAGCTGTGTTAAATATTTTTCCTAAAGGAATAATTGCCAATGGGCTATTAATTTATTTGTTCGTAGATGCTATAATAATCTGCACTGGTGTGTACTTTTTGATCAACCAGATTTAAATATTTCTGAACTAACATAAAACTTCCAGTGGAGATGTGCAGGGTCTACCAACAGACCTCATTACTAAATTATTAAAGTTTTATAGCATATTGATCATCATAACCTTTAAAAAATTTAATACAAATATAGGTACTTTACTGTGCTTTACATACCTGAGTTGTTACGGTATATAAAAATCTGACAAAGGAACCAAAGAAAGCAACTATTTTCATCATATGCAGAAATGTGAATATTCAAACTACTTGCATCCCTCTTTTTACACTCTCAGAAATATTGACTAAAACAGTATTAGAGAGACTCCAGTTTCTATAACTTGGTAGAGTAAAGATAAGTCGAAACCGTTGCGATATTGCATTGCGCTGTTTTTGTATAATTCTCGGGGACATTAACGAAAATCATTGCCAGTAAAAAGCTTGAGTTTCTATGTCTCTGAAGAGAATAGGAATCCGAAGTTGCTGCACTGAACCCTTTTTTAATAATTTCTAGAGACATAAATGACCATTCGACAGGGTCGAGTTTCTACATCTCTTGAATATAGAAAATCAAAATAATGTATGACTCCATTGAGTTTAACTTTAAATAAAGTCTTGCATAGGTATAGAGCCGAAAAATATAAAAACAAAGCACGATTCAATACAGTTCTGGTAAAACTTTAAGATTTAGTATTCAAACAGGTAGTTATCCTATACAGTTCTATATTTTTCCGTTTGCTGTGTATATGAAGTACAGTAGAAACCACGAATATATGAACGTGACTCATCAGGCACAATCGTACGAAGTAATCTATCGAAGGTCACGGTCCAGTGCAGTACTGTATAACGGGTATTTGTAAAATATCTTGAGTGTAATGTTGGTTGCTATACTTCTGATATATTTGCTTTTAAAGTTAAATTTTAATAATTAACATCTACGATAATTAAATAAAATGTAATTTTCTTAAAAACTAATTAATAATTAATAAATAAACTTTTCTTTTAACTTTAATGAAATATTCTATCTGATGACAGAACGTACACTCGTGGCGACATCTCTGTTTTTAATATCTAACAAATTTTTAAACCGATCCAACCTCACTTTCTTCCAATTAAATTCTTTGTCTATGGTATTTTTTGGAAACGTAGAAAAAGTATAGTCTGAAACACGTTTGGAATTGCATATTCCCCTCTCGTGAAACCGTCAAACTTGTTATAGAATATACTATTCTTTTAACTGTAAACGCAAATATTTCAGAATTGGTGACAAAAAACAAAAATGTTTACGCAGGTCAGGTACAAATTGTGTGGATATAAAAACAACTTGCGTTAGTTTCACGAAATTTATTAAATATTGACAATTGTTTCGCTACACAGTAGCTTCTTCAGAATGTATTAAACTAATACTAGTACAAAATTTATATAATAAAAATATTTTTGTATTCTAGCCTAGAATTTCTAGTAGGGATGCACCGGGTACCCGGTCGGTACCCGGTATGGCCGAGTACCCGGCCAAATAACGAAGAAACCGGGTAACCCGGTTTCACCGGGTAATAGTCAGTACCCGGCCGAGTAAACCGGGTACATTGACAAAACAAAAAATAGAATTTTTTAAGTTTTATTTTTAATTTATAAATAAAAATTCAAAAACAACATTAACTCTTAAAATAAACATATTAAAAAAATTAACATTGATTATAAAAAAAATTAAAAATCAACATGTAATACCAAATTAAAAAATAAGATAAATAATTTGCTTTCATTTAATAATAAATTTTTATTAATGAAACTTCCCTCTGACACTGACACATTATTTATTTAATATTCATAATTAAGCAGGGGGCATTGTGGTGCAAAAAATAAGTTTTTCTCCATTTTCTGGTAAAAGACGATTTCTTTTTGTATCAAACACATTCCCAGCTTCTGAAAATATTTTCTCGGAATAGACACTGGATGGTGGAGAGCACAAATATTTTTGACACATTTGGGACAGTCTGATCTAATAAAGTTGGGTTATGTGCACTCGTTTCGGCGAATACCCGGTACCCGGTACCCGGTGTTTAAATTTTAGGCAAACCCGGTACCCGGCTTTTTTAAAAACCACTACTCGGTGCATCCCTAATTTCTAGGTAAGGATTTTTATACGACATCTACCTGTGTTACATAATATAAACCACTGCCACTACAACGTTTAAAACGATTATTAATCCGTAAACACACACCGTTTATTTAGTCCAAAAAACGTACAATAACAATTGCAATAAAGTCCAATAAACATGCAATAACAATTGCAATAAAAACCACTAGCACTACAACGTTTAAAACGATTATTAATCCGTAAACACACAGCAGAAACACGATATGCAAAAACAAAGATCATATGACATATAAAAACAAATGGCCGACGGTAAAGTTGGTTGCCTTACTATGTAATAAAATAAAATAAATTCCTAAAACACGAACTCTACTGACTTCCAATAAAAATAAGTAACAAGCTAGGACACAAGGGGCATATGTCCATCTTTGTCCAACACCTAGGCAGTTTTACATCACAGATGGCGCATTTTAGACCGGATGCTTAAAAACCTACGTGTGAGTACATTTACCGCTGCATCGAATGTACAAGACAAGTAAAACATTACTGCTAGCATGTCTGAGATATGTTCGGTACCCGATGAGTCACGTTCATATATTGGTGGTTTCTACTGTACTTAACTAAAATTTCAGTCTATAACCACGGTATAACGTATACCGTGGTTATAAACAAAGATAATATCTTAGACAAAGATAATACATAATATATTTTAGTTAAGTAGTTCTTATAGTTCTTATAGTTCATCCAATTTAAAATGACATTTTATTGATAAAAAAATGTAATTTTACATTAAAAAATAAAATTTGTTTAAAAATAAACGTATTAAGCTTCACATACATCATTTGATTTAAGTAATCCAGTAATCCGTAAAACTCTATATCCGAACAGGGGGGAAATTCAATCTGTCCGGATTTCTGAAGCTATACTATATATTATCGGTGCCTCTGAAAATGCCGAGTCCGGAAAAGTTGTAGGTTGTGACAACTTGCCTATTCTGGAAGCTCACAGATATCTTTTAAGAAGTCAAAAACTCGTATTAGAATGTATCTTTACTGCAGGAACTGCATTTCCTGACAACGCAACCGTCCGGCGGACCAACTCGTGTCCGGACATGAAAAAATCCCCGGCCGCCCCGCAAGCAAAGGAAAGCCTGGACAACACCCTAGTGGAAACCGACGAAGATGGCGCCACCGTCTCCGACTGCCCCTCGGCGCAGAAAAACTCTCAAAACGGAGTCTCGGTTGCGCCTAGAATCAGCACGGGAGTGTCGTGCACGACGCAGACTGAGAGCTTCTGGCCCTATCAGTTTCTGTTCTTGGGGATTTTCCCTTCGTTGGAGGCTGGGGAGGTGAAACCCAGCCCCGCTCCGAGCCCCGCGCCTTTCTCTTACCTGCAGGATCGCTACTCGCCTTCCATATACGATATTCTCGATAAGTACGTGGAAAACGCCGTACTGGGAACGGAAAAAGAATCGATTTATTACCTGAAAGAGCAGCTTCAATTGGTGCGGCTGCAGCTGTTGTTTGAAAGACACAGGAGGGAGACTCACGCCTATAGAAATCGCAGGTTGCTATCCGATGCTAAGAGCACTAGATTATTGGAAGAGTGCAATTCGGCTTTGGTAATTTTTTTCACAAATATTAAGTTTTTAGGAGGTTACGATGTTTTTGTTTTCAGAGAGATCAGGTTCAGTTACAACAGACGGAAATCGACAACCTTAGAGTACAACTGACGAAGTGCAGGGCCGAATATCAAGAGGAAAACAAAAAGATGGTGGAAAAGTTGAATGTAATTGAAAACCAGGTAAATAAGATTATGTCGCAAAACATCAAACATTACAAAATTACAAACCTAGTATTTGCCAATAAAGCAATAGTAATGATGGTTGGAGTACCCATAAAAACATCTACATTTTTACTGTGAAAAACTGACTCTACTAGTGTCTTGAAATTCCAAAACGAATTTTCCTTTACCATGTTTTCGAATTCGCAAAATTGAAGGAGCTATTTACTTTTTAAAGCCACCAATGAGACCGTTTTTTATATTTTTTTTACTCCCACCTTTAAAACGCCCTTTATCGTACTTGTTTCCATGACACTAAGTGACCTTTTAAATACACATTGACAAGTTGTGGCTTTATGGCGCTTTAGTCACGGGCTGAAGTTAGTTGACAGTTGTCAAATGTCATATAATCGTTAAAATAAAGTGCCTTTCTTGTAAAATAATACTAAATGTAAACATTATTTTATTATCTTAATAAAAAAATACAAAAGTAATAAATAGTTTCTCAACGCCAATATTTGAAAAGTTTATATGAACATTGTACTGACCTTTTAATTTCGCCGGCAGTAAACTATAACTTAAATTCGGGCACGGACTCCACTGTAAAGTGCTCATAAAACATTTTCTTTACTTTCACTGTGAAAAACTGTCAATTTTCAAGAAATGCATTTCGATTTATAACAGATTCTCCTTTTGGTTCATTTATGGCGCTCTATTCAAATTTTTGATTTAAATCATTTTAAGATAATAATAAGTATTTGTCATAGAAAAAGTATAGTATGCACCTCGTTAATAAACTTTTCTATACACTCATTAATTTAAGCACTCGCTCGCAAGCTCGCTTGTGCCTAAATTAAATTCGTGTATAAAATGGCGTTTATCAAACTTGATACATAATATACTAATTTGTGTTTACAAAAGGCACTGATATGTTATCATTCTATTCTATTAGATTTAAAAGCTTAATGGTCCATTTTTAATAGAGAAATTTGTATTTTTACAGAAAAATTACAGAAAAAACTGACACTGACCTTTTGAAAGCTGTTAAAACAGATTCCTAACACTAACTTGGAAACTATGTTTTTGTATAGATGCGCTCTTTACAAATACTTAAATTTATTAGTAATAAATTATTTTTATAATAATATTTGTCATAGAAAAAGTATGCGGCTCATTTATAAACTTTTCTAGACACTTATTTTTATAAAACACTCGCTCGTAAGCTTTGATCGTGACTTGAGACATAATACTTCATTAGTATAATTACATTATATTTGCTAATTTATAAAAACAAATACATAATTACTAAACATTTTGTAGATTACTCTACGTTAACAGCTATTACAAGTTGATTTGTAGTTTTAATTTAATAATAAATAATAATAATAAAAAAAAATATTTGAATTGTATCAATTAAATATTATATTTTAAATCCAACTCAACAAATAAAATATATATAAACTTGACATTGCAACTAAATTTTTCCTACAACCATTTTCTAGGAACATAGAAGATAAAAGATTTCGTTTTATATGTGGAAAAATTGAATTTTTATTGAAAATATGAAAAATGCATTATTTTTACTAAAAACTCGGGATAACGGGTAATGTTTTCAATTCGTCCTACGGATAATAAGGGAAAAGGCAAAAGTCAAATTTTGATAAAAAATTGTACAAACAATTTTTAAAGCGTTTGCATAAAATTTGTAACATGCGGTGTCCGTTTATTTGTAAATTAATTTGTTTCGCATATTTGTGTAAAATTTGTTTCGAAAATTTAAAAATTTGGAAATAAACAAATTCTTTTAGAAAAATAAATAAAGTAGTGCCACATTTTTTTTAAATGAAGTATTTTTGAAGGAAGTAAATTTAAAAAGTACTCTGGTAACGGGAATCGTTAAATTTAAATAATAAAAATAATAATAAAAACAAGAAAAATTATCTTTTGTCCTTTATTACTTGATATTGAAGTTCGGCGGTTTTTTCTTAGGGCGACGATAAGTTATATTTCTATAATAATTATATTATGTAAATGATATAATATTAAAGAAATTTACATACATTTTGTGTTAATATTTTGGAAGAATTTGCTAAAATTTTTTAAAATTTTTGATGCAAACTTTGTGCGTACGGGGGCGTTGAACCCCCGTTTTACGTAAGCAAACTTTCAAAGGTTTTAGAACCCCTTCCCCTTGTATAAGCGAAAATAAATGATAAGATGTAAGAACTTAATTATCTTTGAAATAAAATTATTTTTTTAACAATAATTTATTGTTTTAAAGATATTTTCGTAATTTTGTATTTTTTATTTTACGTAAGATTTATTATATTCGATTTATTATATTCCCCCGCCCCCAAACCTGTGTACGCAAACACGCCTACAACAAATTTTGCATGCGAGATGTGTTCAAAGGCCATAGCAGACACAATTACACAATTTGTTAAAAACACAAATATGATTAACAAAGCCACATTTTTTTACATTGTTAACTTGTTAATTTTAGTGTAAACAGGCCCAAGTAGAGTGCAAAAGTCTAAAGGAAACCAACGTGTCGTATAAAACCGAATTAGGGGCAGTTAAAACTCGTTGTAATGAGTTGGATGTTCAAAGGCAGCAAGCAGAGGCGTCGTATTTCGATGCCCTGGCCGACCGAAACGTAAGTATTTTATATTATTTCTCTCTTATTCGTTTTATTTAATATTTGTCCTGTTTAGGTTGCAAGAGAGCAAGCCAAAGCTGGCGAAAGAGGCAGAACTGAACTGGAGCAAGTCAACAAGGAGCTTCTTTTGATGGGAGAGTTGCATCTTAAATTCCAAGAAAAACTGAACAAGCTCTCCTCCATGCAGGATTACGAGCAACGGTCGAGACAGATGAACGAGGCATACAGCCAGGAAATCAAAGGTAATAGGATTCATTTATTTGCTTAATAACACTATGATAGTTGTAGAAACTTTTTTCCTTACATTAAGTAACTAATTTTGGGCCGCTGATTTCAAAAATGTCATGTCTAGGATTTAAAATAATTTCGTAATAAATTGCTCTGCGCAATCACCTCAAAATGTAAGTTTTTTGTTAGTACCTATATTAATTACTTATTAAATTATTTTGGCTTAAATTTATCTTGAATGTATTGAAGTAATTGGTATACGACAAATGGATCATATTTATCTTAACAATATGACATATTAAATACTAAAACTAAAATTTTAATGTATTTTATGTAAAAAAACAACCATTATTTGACATTTTTTGTCGTTTATTTTAATTATTAAATTGAAAGGGCAACAAAGTAAACAACTTTCAGTATTTTTTATCCAAATTAAGCCCTGAAAATTTAATGCATTGCATAATTTTGCTTTTTTCTACCTTAAATTTATTAAATCGTATCAAATATCGAATCTATGGCTGCAAATTCCAGCAAATTTCTCCTACCAATGAATCCTACTTCTTTCCGCTATACCCATAGATATCTACCAATGCTCTAGATTTGCAGTTACTTGGTGAAATCGTTCTCCATGTTCATCATTTCGGCAAATTTATCAGGATGAAAAAAAAAGAAAATGTATTTTAAATGACATTTTAACGCTAATTCTTTAAAAAAAGGAGAGCATTTTTTCAATGAATTGGCGCAAATTTTAGGAACGATATGAACCAAGAACATTTTCAATGACAGCTTTAAAACTGCCATATGCGACAAGCTCGTCAAATTTGAGAGCATTTTTGAATGCTTGATCTTTCATTAAACATCGTATATCAGGGCCATTTAATATTCCTGAAAAATTAAAGTAGTAGGTATATCTCATAAAATATTGCGTTGGTTTTTCTTGGGCGTAAAGGTACCGCAACAAAAACAAAACAAATTTACAACGACGACATAAATGTTCGTCTCCTTTCTCTGCCACTTCCATTACCACTTCCATTTTCTGCTCTTTTCATTTTTGGTTCTTAAAATCACTTTCAAGTAAAAATACAATTTAGAGTTTAAATTTTAAATAAAGTAGATATTAAATTTTGATAAGACTTAATAAATAAGATTGGAGATTAAATTTTTGGGTACTTTAGGCATGATGTGAATAAAAAAAATATCAAATAATAGTCGAAGAGTAATGCTTATACCGAAACCCATTTACTTTGTTGCCTTTTCAATTTAATTAGTAATTAAAAAAACGACACAAAAATTTCAAAAAATTTTACTTTTTACCAAAAAAAATATAAAATTTTAGTTTTTGTATTTAATAAAGCACTTCTCTGCAGAAAAGTGCTTTATTAAATATCCCTTATATAATACTACTATAGTATGAAACAAAAAAAAATTCTATTTGACATTTATCTACTGATGACTTGTATATTTTTGACAATAAACGTCAAAAATATACTGAACATCCAAATAGATTTAAGGCATTTTTAAATAATCAAAATATTAACAATAAACTCACATTTTGATATAATTGCGCAGAGCATTTTATTACGCAATTATTTCGAATCCTAGACGTCTTGGAGCAAAACGAGTGGAATTTTTGAAATCAGCAGCCCAAAATTAGGTAATATAGATGGGCGTATTCAATGTTAGTAATTCAAACTATCATAGTGTAATGTTTAATATTATTTTTTTCAGATGTGAAAGCAAAACTTAACTCGACTGTGGCCTCTCTACAAGCTCACCAGGCGAGGTTGGTGGACTTGGAAAAAGTGCTTGGTAAGAAAGAAAACATGGTCGAAGCCCAAAAGCAACAGTTGGCCAGCTTGGCTGAGGAGAATATACAAAAAATTCAGGTAAATAATATTGATGTTAAATTTCTAGAGATAGGAAAATTCTTATTTGACGAAAATTTCCGGAAACCTTCCATTGAAAATTCCCAAAACTTTCCGAAAGTTTAAAAAAAAAATTTAGTGCCAGGAGGATTGCAAACATAAATAATATTCTAAAAATAGTACTGCAGTTCTGACCAATAAAATATTAAAAAAAGAGTGAGCCTGAGTCTATAGTTTTAAAAAATACAGGCTCTGGAGTTGCTACAATTATATTTATTAGTGCCACCCCATTGACATCTGTCCAACCATCTAAAAGAATTGTCATATTATTAGCCTGTTGTACTTTATCTTTAACTACTTTTTGGATTCTAGCATATTCAGAGTTAAGCAATGTTGTACTTAATTTCTTTATTTCAGGGAGCTTTAAACTAGGGCTGGGCGATCATCAAAATTCATAATCGATTATTGATTATCTAAAATAATCGATTAGGGTCATTCCATCGTTTCAGGTGTTACATTTGTTCAACCAAAGTCTAATTTTTTTTGTATTTTGAAATAACATTTTAGCAATTAAAGTGCCTTATTCTCTCGCGAATTTTCTTAGGGAAACATTCCTAAAAATTACAGGCCTCCAAAAGTATAATATTTACTAACCATCTACCACATAATCACTGTCACAAATAAAGTTTTACTTTTTTTTTTATAAAATTTTACTTTGTTTCGGGTGTTAGACAAAATCGGTGTAGGTACTACAAAATAAGTTAGTAACAAATAAACATAAATAGAATTCATTCTCTTTAAACATAACTTAAGCGCTTCAGGTGCGATTGATAAATCAACTAAAAAACAGGCTGAAAACTTTCAGGAAGGTGAAAAAAGAAGCCTCTAATAATTTGAGCTCTTAATAATAACATTAAGTGGTGCCTGTTCCTAACTTTCCATTTTCCATTTAAATAACATGAAAAAAAAATTCATTTTTCTTATTTTTGTGTCTTGACATTTAAGCATTGTAAAAACGAACCAAAAAATTATTTTGGTAGGAAATTGAACGCTCTACAAAAAAGTACTAATTTATTTTTTCATAGAGTAAGTCGTTCTGAAGGTATTCAATTCAAACTTGCAATTGTATGAAATTATGACTTATTTTATTAAACTAATAATTTTTTTGTCTTAAAAATTATTTTAAGAAAAAATAATTCTTTTCGTATAGAAAGATAATAACACTTACATCTCAATTTTTTTCCATTTTATTTTATTTACTTTCAAAAAAAATTATTTGTGTTCAATAAATTTGTTCAATAATTATATATAATAGATTAAATAAAACAATGAATTTGTTATTGTATTGAATTTTTAATCTTTCTTTATTTTTTATAATTTTAAAGTCGATAACTCTGATAAAAGATTATATCGGTTCAGTCGGTATATTAACTTTCGGATTACACAGTGACCACAGGCACGCTAACATGCCGCGATTCGAAATGTTAAAGGCAACTTTAAGTTTGAATACCTTCAGAACGGCTCACTCTATGAAAAAATATATTGAAACTTTTTTGTAGAGCGTTCAATTTCCTACCAAAATAATTTTTCAGTTCGTTTTTACAATGCTCAAATGTCAAGCTACAAAAATAAGAAAAATGAAAAAAAAATGTCCATGTTATCTAAATGGAAAATGGAAAGTTAGGAACATGCACCACTTAATTTTAATATTAAGAGCTCAAATTTTGAGAGGTTTCTTTTTTCACCTTCCTAAAAGTTTTTAGCCTGTTTTTTAGTTGAAAAAAAAGTTGCTTAAAAATGAACAACCCTAATATCGACATATTAAGAAAGATGTAACACCCGAAACGTTTCAGATTTTAATCAAGAAAAACACATCAAATTAGTCTCATGCTCAGATATTAGTATTTATTTTAAATCATTTCCACCATAACGTTACTTATAACACACTTATAACGTGATAATTATTAATTTTTTTGTGAGTGTGACGCAATCCACCAATACTACGATAAATAATCTCAAATCACAACGTGGCAAAACGGTTGACAGATTGACAGTTTTTTTCTTCTTCATATTTTCAATTGTTAGAGGCACACTGGTCATTCAGCCGGTTCACTTAAGTACAGATAGTAGGCCTTGTATTTTGTACTAATATGGCGTTTTTTGTTCCAAAAATACAGTTTATCAAGATCTACACTTTAAAACAAATTCGGTTAAAATCGCACAATAAACAAAGATTTTACAGGGGTGAGTCGCAAACAAATGGGTCACACTGTATGTTAAACCATTTTGGTTGCATTAACGAAATATATTTTTTTACAGAACTTACATTGAGCATGGTCTTTTTTTTTGCATTATTTTGTAATAATTCGAAATATACGATTTTTCTCTTGGCATTGTTCTGTACCTATAAATATACAACAAAAACGTTTTAACTTTGTTTATTGTTTTTATTTTGTTTACCTTTTAAAAGGCTTTTAAACAAAAGGGTTTTTTGCAAACCATTTATGAATTGTGATGATGAGATCTTCAACAAACTTCTCCTTTAAATTAACACAAATTAACTTCTTCTTATTCAGTTTCTTTGCTTTAACTTCGCAAATCAGGTGTTAAACAATTGATATTTACATAAAAAAATAGGGAAACTTTCCATGGAAAGTTTAAAAGAAACTTTCAAAATGAAACTAAATTCCCGACTGGAAACTAAACAAAATTGGAAACTTTCCGATTCCCATCTCTACACAGTAAAAAAAATCAACTCTAAGCAACACTAATTAGAGTTCACACAGGTCCACACTAAATAGTGTTGTTTTATAACACTACAATTAGAGTTAATTTGTAGTGTAATTTTCCCCAAGTAAGCAAGTATAATTTAACACTATAGCACTGAGGATAAAGTAATTTTACACTGTATTAAAAAGTGTTTATTTACCTAAAATCGTGTACTTCTACACTTCCTGGGTAAAATCCCACTTTTGTTCAGTGTAAATTTACACTACTTTGGAAAAGTTCTAATTTTAGAAAGGTACTTTTACTCTTTTAGTGCAAACTTCTAGTGTAAATTAACACTATTATTTGAGTAAAACCTATTGGTGGTAGTGAATAAAACGAAAAGGTAAATAAAGAGAAACATTTATTTGGAACAAAAATCTATGACAATTATCAAAATCGGTGCCTTTTAAAATGTAATTTTATATTTGAGTCGAATGGCTAGCTTAAGCAAAATGCAAAACGTAAAAGTTTTAGATCAATGCAATGTTTTACTGGCTGTCAACTTGTAAGCAATGAATTATCTTGAGAACTCATCAGTAATCCATTTTTCTGTTATAAAAAATGGGTGATCCCATTGGGAGGGAGGCGTCAGGCGGGTGTATGTCGGGGATTTACCACACGTGTACACATTTCCATAATATTAATAAAAATGTAGGTATAACAACCATTACGCTTGAAAATAAAAAGTAAATCAATTGTGTATGTATTTATATTATTAATGTTTCAAGTACCCGACCTACTGCCGTAAATTATTGATATATAATATAGGTCGGGTATGGACATCCTTTTAACATATTGGTATTTATTGAGTATTAAGGCTTAAAGAAAAAGGAAGTTTAATACCAAAAAATAAGAATGTCCTCTTATAGATTCACCGTAATTAAAATCTAACTGAACACAAATGCCACACTTCCACAACGCGGTATCTTCGGATATGCACTGCGTAGGTAGGTAGGTACCAACCAAACATTTTAAAACGCATTTCTGTTATTACCAGTTTTTTCAGTCTATTTTGCCACTATTGGTGTAATTTAACTTTAATTGTGATACAATGTGCACTAGTAGTGTAAAGAAAAACGAGCTCTTAGTAACATCAAAACAGACAAAGAAATTGGCATGCACTGTAGTGTACATTTTGTCACTATTTAACACATTAAGGAGTAATAAACACTCGCATTAAGTTTTTCTACCCTTTTGATTTATTTTAATAATAAATAGTGTGAATGTACCAATGAATAATGTTCATATTCTTTAAATGTGTTTAATAAAGTTAATAAGCACTAAATTCTACCTAGTGTATTTTGTAGTGTAACTTTTACACTAACAAATCAACTCTAATATTTTTACCCCTTCACTAAAAAATTTACACGGGCAAAATTTTTTACTGTGTATTGAAATCATCAAATCATCCAACAACATTCATGTATATATTAATTTTTAGGCCGTCGAAAGCAAGTACCAGTGCCAGCTGCGCATCAACCGGGCGCTGGAGGAGAAGCTGCTCGAGTCGCGGCAACGTCGCAACCCGAACTCGCCCGACACGAGCAGCTGCCACGAGGTGAACGCAACGACGACGGATCGGACGACCGGCGGCCTGAGCGCGCATTCGTCGCCCCTCTCCGCCTCTTTGGCCTCCTCGGAGGGCAGCGTTGCCTTTCACGAGGCCAGGGAGGTCAAGAATCTGCAGGTGAGTCTCGAGGTTTTAGTTTCTTTTGACGTTTTTTCTTTGAACCATTTCTTCTTTTGAGGACATTCTATTTTTGTTTACTTCATTTGGTACTTTCTTGTGGACCATTTTTTAAATACTAGTCTAAAAAAAAATTAACTGTATGTGTACACATAAAATTAATTGTATAATTTTTTATACCCTAAAGAAGTATCGCTAGTAGCGCCATCATCGTAACAAAAGTACCACTTTTAATAATCAGCTGTCAAACGCTTATGTTACAAACGGTTGTTTTTGAGAATAAAGACTGGAAATGTTAAAAAATATCGAAAAAAAAGTGTCTCGATTTGTTGTGTTGTTGGATGTATTTCGAGAGGAAATCCTGGGTTGAGTTTTTACCGGTTTTCCCGGTTTTCCAATTCAGAATGAAGAAATAAATTGCATACAGTCTCTGTAAATATAAATTGTACCTATTAGATACAATAAATACATATTTTAGTAGTGATTAACGTGAAAATGGTAAACATTTCAATTCAGTAAAAATCGTCAAACAAATAAGCATTTAGCATTATTAAAAGCGTTGATTAAGAAAATCTCCACTCAACAGTAAAATACCATTATATTGTATTTTATATAATATTATGTTGCCATGAATTCGTAGGTATATTTTGTTGTTTAAAATGCAGTTGTCGGCGTTTTTTAGAGAACTCAAATATAAAAATGGTTGATTTTAAGGTTATGTTTGTGCAAAAATTATTTTTTAATAATTTCTTAAAAATGTCCAAACTTAAATATAAATTATATTAGGTAAAGTTATCATTAGTTAATTCTGCACCAACAAATGTACTTACCGAATTGGATCCTTTGGCAAAACATGAAAATGCAACGATTTAGTTCTTGAATTTTATTTACAATTAAAAACACAATAATTCACCATGATCCTTTAGATAAAATACACACAATAACGTAACTATACAAGCATTTAAGCGTTGAGTTTCTTAATCAATGATATAAGGAATAATCAATCGAAATCGAGTACTAAAAAAGTTTTTTAATTTTTTCCTTGCTACGTAAAACACAAATAACGTGTGCGATTTAGCTGTGCAATTGAACACAATTTGTCAAGTAAGACTTCTTTTGTGAAAAAAGTACTTACCTATTATAGGTAAGTACTTTTTTCCAGGGACCCGGACCGAAACCGAAAAAAACCGAAAACCGGAACGGAACCGGTTTTTTTTTCCGAACCGAAACCCGAACCGGAACCGTTTTCGCTTTTGATAAAATCTGTTGGACCGGAACCGAAACCTTTATTTGCTTATATATATATATATATATATATACAAAATTCTATCATTGCTGCGTCCATACATTTATAAAATCCCTATTCTTATTGCGTCAACGACCTTACTGCGTCAGTATATCTGACGCACTAATGTCAAGCGCTTATTTCTTAAAATTTACTTCATCCCGGCACTTTCTAAGATTCTTGCTAATACAGATCTGTGAAGAATTTAATTCCCAATTTTTGTGTCCAAAAATTTTTTATGTCCGACCCTGCGTTTTTTAAATATTTAGAAAAATTTGAACACAAAATGTGTGCAGCAACATACTAAAAATGAAAAAAAATTGTATATTTAGTTCACCCATTTGACGATGAGGGCGTTGCGATAATATACGTTTTTCAATATACGTGTTTTTAAATACTGTATGTTGTTGCGTCGCACAATTTGGCAACGTCTCGCCTATGATTTTAATATTTGAATTAAACTCACGATACTGTTGCGAATGGTAGCGCTGTTTCTCTCGCACCGTGTGACGTCACACTAGAGACAGTTGTCCTTTCGTTTAAATGTAATCATATTATAATCTTGGGGCGCGCGTCGAGTTTTATGAAATTTACAATTATGACGGTGGATTTATTAAAACTGATTGTAAGATAAAATTGTTTTGTACATAAGTAATTGTGACAATGTATTTTTTAAATTATATATGCAGATGCAGATTTAAAGGCAGAAAAACGATTATCATTTTTTACGCTTATAATCGTAAAAAAATGATCATCGTTTTTCTGTTAATTTTACTATTTCAAAAATAATAAAAGTTTTGCATGTTTCATGTACTTAAAAAAAAAGGTTAATATCAATGTAAATAACTACAATGTGTTTTATGTTATTAACAGGTAATTCAAAAAAATTTAAAAAAAAGTAATACATCAATGTTATAAATACAGCGTGTTTCTACTAACTAATTGACAATCTAAATTTGGCTTTCTAATAAATATTTTTCAATTGAGCTTTTGTTTTTGAATTATCAAACTTTGTTTTGAAGTAAAACTTTTTATGTAAATTATTTATGGGCGGATTAAAAAAAATAGTTTTTAGTAAATTTTGACATTTTTTCTTTAGTATCTTTAGTAGATTTATTACAGTTTTTACACAAAATAACAAAAACACAATACAAATCTAAATGTCTTATAATAATAATTATTATAATTTTAATTATTGTAATAATAATAATATTACATCATATTATAATAATAACATTACTAAACAAAATTAATCATAATAATATCATTAAACAATGCAGTAGCAAGTTAAATAAGTAGTTTCGAAACTCGAATGTTGAGCGGTCTATGGAATGTCACCCCGTCCATCATCTCTATGTTCAGGCATAATTAAATACATGTATATCTTAAAATCAAATAATACCACACAATGTTAGTTAAAAAAAATTGTCTTAATTTTAAAAACATTTAATCCCCCGGGGGCGTGGCAAAAATTATTTTTAAAAATTAAAAAAAAAACAGCTTATACAAATACCCTTCTCACAACTTTTTTTTAACTAAGTGAGATTTCCAAAAATAATTATTTCAGCCCAGCCTACCGAATTTCTAATTTTTGCCGCGCCCCCGGGGGATTGAATGTTTTTAAATTTTTTTTTAACTTACATTTTGAATTTGGCATATTAAAAAACTATAAGGTTTTAACTCACTTGTAACACAAAAAAAATCTTGTTAATATATTTTAATTTTAAGCCCCTCCCCAAAGCTTTTAAAGTTCTAATATGCATCTCTTCGATTAAAAAAAAAAGCCGTGGTGCGCGGCGTAAAATTAAAATATTTAAATATTTTTTTTTGTGTGTCTTAAGTAAGTTAATACCTGGGTCAGAATTTCTCAAACGGGCCACCTGAATTAGGTCAAAATTAGTTTTTGTTTGTAGATACATTTTTTTGATAGTATTTTACATCACTAACACAAATCCTAAAGGATTTTGTAAAAAAAAATTTTTCAATTGATATATTCATGATATTAAAAGTCAAAGTTTTTAATAATTAAAAAATAAAAAAATTCATTATGGCTGAACTAATTATCCGATTCCAACGATATAACTAGCGTTGGAATCTTGTTTTGACATAGATTCTTTGTTATTTTTTTCAATTGTCCTATTTTCATTTAGGTCGATTTTTTTTTGTTTTTTTTATACCAAATTCGGAAATAATTGCCTTCTGCGCCAGCTATCGACTCTAGAAAAAAAACACATATACTCCAATCATTTCTCGAAATTATGCTGCTGAGAAAAAAAATGGCCCGCAGGTTGACAAAAAGTTATTCGTCCTTTTGTGGCCGCGCGCGGTGTCAGCTCACGCTCCGAACCGTGTACGCTGTACGCGCTTGTGACGCGACGTCTTACGGTGGTCTGGAACCTGCGGGCCATTTTTTTTCTCAGCAGCATAATTTCGAAAAATGATTGGAGTATATGTGTTTTTTTTTTCGAGTCGATAGCTGGCGCAGAAGCCAATTATTTCCGAATTTGTTATAAAAAAAACAAAAAAAAATCGACCTAAATGAAAATTTTACAATTGAAAAAAATAACAAAGAATCTATGTCAAAACAAGATTCCAACGCTAGTTAAATCGTTGGAATCGGATAATTAGTTTAGCCATAATGATTTTTTTTTATTTTTTAATTACTAAAAACTTTTACTTTTAATATCATGAATATGTCAATTGAAAATTTTTTTTTTACAAAATCCTTTAGGATTTGTGTTAGTGATGTAAAATACTATGGAAAAAATGTATCTACAATCAAAAACTAATTTTGACCTAATTCAGGTGGCCCGTTTGAGAAATTCTGACCCACCTAATATTTTTTAATATGCAAAATTCAAAACTTAACTTAAAAAATATTTTTATTGAATTTTGAGGAATTTCAACCCCCCGGGGGCGCGGCTAAATTTGTTTTTAAAAATTTGAAAAAAAACAGCTTATTTGTGTACCCTTCTTACAATGACAATGAACCCTCAAAAAAATAAAAGTTCCCGGAAATTTTTTGAATTTAGTGATTTTTTTATGTTCACTAAAATTTTTGTACTAAAATTGTACAACTTCTTGTGGCCTAGTTTACACAATAGATTTGGTCAATAAGTATGGAATTAACTTGGAAATTAGTAAAATTAGGGTAATTAGTAGGGAATTATAATTCCTCTATAGAGGAATTACTAGGTATTTTTTAAATTAAAATGGAATTATAATATATAAGGGGAATTAGTAAGGAAATAGAGGAATTAGTAGCAATCCTGGGAATTAGTGTACACATTTTCTTTTGCGGTTTACCCCGAGGGGTAAACCGCAGGGGAATTTTGGTGTACAATCTGTAGGAATTAGTAAGGAATTAGAGGAATTTGGGGAATTACTCGGTAAATTAGTAAGCAAATAGTGGAATTAGTGGGGAATTAGAAAGAAATTAGAAGAAAATTGATGTCTCGTTTAGCACTTGAATATAAAGAAAAAAACAAAGAAACCGGAAGTTACAGAGCTACTCCATTTTTTGCCATTTCCAGATTGGGAGTAGTACCACTGCAGCATTGAAAAAAATGAAGAATGTTGTGTACAGCACACCACCCATATTTTAACAAAAAATAGTACTCGTTTCCTAAAACCAGGAATACATCTGCCAATTGGGAAATACACTGTCTTCTCTGGTCATCTCAGGGAATTAATTTTAAAGTTTCAAAAAGACAAA